AGGGCGTTGACCAGCCCGCCTGCTCCTCTCTGGAAAGAAAGATGGCGGCCGCACGGGAGCCTTGTGGAAAGCGGGTTTGAGCCGGGCTCGGGGGAGCGGCGGGGACCTCATGGGAAGGGGGGCTTTGTGGGCCGTCCCCCACGCCCCACCAAGGTCGCCAGCTGCCCCCCACGAGCGGCTCTCCGGCACGGCCACGGCCCCGGAGGCACAAGGACTTAGCACAGAGAACCAGCTGCTTGGAGCAGAAAAGCAAATGGACTTGTGTTGATCCGCGCCACCAAGCCTGCCCGGAGGGGGAAGGGCGTTGACCAGCCCGCCTGCTCCTCTCTGGAAAGAAAGATGGCGGCCGCACGGGAGCCTTGTGGAAAGCGGGTTTGAGCCGGGCTCGGGGGAGCGGCGGGGACCTCATGGGAAGGGGGGCTTTGTGGGCCGTCCCCCACGCCCCACCAAGGTCGCCAGCTGCCCCCCACGAGCGGCTCTCCGGCACGGCCACGGCCCCGGAGGCACAAGGACTTAGCACAGAGAACCAGCCGCTTGGAGCAGAAAAGCAAATGGACTTGTGTTGATCCGCGCCACCAAGCCTGCCCGGAGGGGGAAGGGCGTTGACCAGCCCGCCTGCTCCTCTCTGGAAAGAAAGATGGCGGCCGCACGGGAGCCTTGTGGAAAGCGGGTTTGAGCCGGGCTCGGGGGAGCGGCGGGGACCTCATGGGAAGGGGGGCTTTGTGGGCCGTCCCCCACGCCCCACCAAGGTCGCCAGCTGCCCCCCACGAGCGGCTCTCCGGCACGGCCACGGCCCCGGAGGCACAAGGACTTAGCACAGAGAACCAGCTGCTTGGAGCAGAAAAGCAAATGGACTTGTGTTGATCCGCGCCACCAAGCCTGCCCGGAGGGGGAAGGGCGTTGACCAGCCCGCCTGCTCCTCTCTGGAAAGAAAGATGGCGGCCGCACGGGAGCCTTGTGGAAAGCGGGTTTGAGCCGGGCTCGGGGGAGCGGCGGGGACCTCATGGGAAGGGGGGCTTTGTGGGCCGTCCCCCACGCCCCACCAAGGTCGCCAGCTGCCCCCCACGAGCGGCTCTCCGGCACGGCCACGGCCCCGGAGGCACAAGGACTTAGCACAGAGAACCAGCTGCTTGGAGCAGAAAAGCAAATGGACTTGTGTTGATCCGCGCCACCAAGCCTGCCCGGAGGGGGAAGGGCGTTGACCAGCCCGCCTGCTCCTCTCTGGAAAGAAAGATGGCGGCCGCACGGGAGCCTTGTGGAAAGCGGGTTTGAGCCGGGCTCGGGGGAGCGGCGGGGACCTCATGGGAAGGGGGGCTTTGTGGGCCGTCCCCCACGCCCCACCAAGGTCGCCAGCTGCCCCCCACGAGCGGCTCTCCGGCACGGCCACGGCCCCGGAGGCACAAGGACTTAGCACAGAGAACCAGCTGCTTGGAGCAGAAAAGCAAATGGACTTGTGTTGATCCGCGCCACCAAGCCTGCCCGGAGGGGGAAGGGCGTTGACCAGCCCGCCTGCTCCTCTCTGGAAAGAAAGATGGCGGCCGCACGGGAGCCTTGTGGAAAGCGGGTTTGAGCCGGGCTCGGGGGAGCGGCGGGGACCTCATGGGAAGGGGGGCTTTGTGGGCCGTCCCCCACGCCCCACCAAGGTCGCCAGCTGCCCCCCACGAGCGGCTCTCCGGCACGGCCACGGCCCCGGAGGCACAAGGACTTAGCACAGAGAACCAGCCGCTTGGAGCAGAAAAGCAAATGGACTTGTGTTGATCCGCGCCACCAAGCCTGCCCGGAGGGGGAAGGGCGTTGACCAGCCCGCCTGCTCCTCTCTGGAAAGAAAGATGGCGGCCGCACGGGAGCCTTGTGGAAAGCGGGTTTGAGCCGGGCTCGGGGGAGCGGCGGGGACCTCATGGGAAGGGGGGCTTTGTGGGCCGTCCCCCACGCCCCACCAAGGTCGCCAGCTGCCCCCCACGAGCGGCTCTCCGGCACGGCCACGGCCCCGGAGGCACAAGGACTTAGCACAGAGAACCAGCTGCTTGGAGCAGAAAAGCAAATGGACTTGTGTTGATCCGCGCCACCAAGCCTGCCCGGAGGGGGAAGGGCGTTGACCAGCCCGCCTGCTCCTCTCTGGAAAGAAAGATGGCGGCCGCACGGGAGCCTTGTGGAAAGCGGGTTTGAGCCGGGCTCGGGGGAGCGGCGGGGACCTCATGGGAAGGGGGGCTTTGTGGGCCGTCCCCCACGCCCCACCAAGGTCGCCAGCTGCCCCCCACGAGCGGCTCTCCGGCACGGCCACGGCCCCGGAGGCACAAGGACTTAGCACAGAGAACCAGCCGCTTGGAGCAGAAAAGCAAATGGACTTGTGTTGATCCGCGCCACCAAGCCTGCCCGGAGGGGGAAGGGCGTTGACCAGCCCGCCTGCTCCTCTCTGGAAAGAAAGATGGCGGCCGCACGGGAGCCTTGTGGAAAGCGGGTTTGAGCCGGGCTCGGGGGAGCGGCGGGGACCTCATGGGAAGGGGGGCTTTGTGGGCCGTCCCCCACGCCCCACCAAGGTCGCCAGCTGCCCCCCACGAGCGGCTCTCCGGCACGGCCACGGCCCCGGAGGCACAAGGACTTAGCACAGAGAACCAGCTGCTTGGAGCAGAAAAGCAAATGGACTTGTGTTGATCCGCGCCACCAAGCCTGCCCGGAGGGGGAAGGGCGTTGACCAGCCCGCCTGCTCCTCTCTGGAAAGAAAGATGGCGGCCGCACGGGAGCCTTGTGGAAAGCGGGTTTGAGCCGGGCTCGGGGGAGCGGCGGGGACCTCATGGGAAGGGGGGCTTTGTGGGCCGTCCCCCACGCCCCACCAAGGTCGCCAGCTGCCCCCCACGAGCGGCTCTCCGGCACGGCCACGGCCCCGGAGGCACAAGGACTTAGCACAGAGAACCAGCCGCTTGGAGCAGAAAAGCAAATGGACTTGTGTTGATCCGCGCCACCAAGCCTGCCCGGAGGGGGAAGGGCGTTGACCAGCCCGCCTGCTCCTCTCTGGAAAGAAAGATGGCGGCCGCACGGGAGCCTTGTGGAAAGCGGGTTTGAGCCGGGCTCGGGGGAGCGGCGGGGACCTCATGGGAAGGGGGGCTTTGTGGGCCGTCCCCCACGCCCCACCAAGGTCGCCAGCTGCCCCCCACGAGCGGCTCTCCGGCACGGCCACGGCCCCGGAGGCACAAGGACTTAGCACAGAGAACCAGCTGCTTGGAGCAGAAAAGCAAATGGACTTGTGTTGATCCGCGCCACCAAGCCTGCCCGGAGGGGGAAGGGCGTTGACCAGCCCGCCTGCTCCTCTCTGGAAAGAAAGATGGCGGCCGCACGGGAGCCTTGTGGAAAGCGGGTTTGAGCCGGGCTCGGGGGAGCGGCGGGGACCTCATGGGAAGGGGGGCTTTGTGGGCCGTCCCCCACGCCCCACCAAGGTCGCCAGCTGCCCCCCACGAGCGGCTCTCCGGCACGGCCACGACTCCAGGGCACAGAAACCAATCTCTTAATTAGCTAACTTTTAATAGAAATTCTTCCAGGGTCAATAAGTAAAATAGCAGAAATTCAAAACCGCGCGGCCGCTATTGCGGCCGCGCGACCTCATTTTATTCTTAAACCAAGTTGTAGAAAGCAAATCATTTCACAACGCTGTTTCAGCATGTCTGATTGGGGGGGGGGGAGTGGGTCGTAAGCTCTAAACAATAGTTGTGCATCTTCTATCGAAATAATCTATCTAGTCAAAGTAGATAGAGTATTAACTAGAACTCATCTGCCTCACAAGAATTGGGAGGGGTGGGAGGTGGGGGTCTATTGGGGTTCGGGGTTAAAAATGAGTATTGGTAAAGGGAAATGTGTTCGGTATCTACATGACTGAGACCTAAACCCGAAAGCTCTGTAACTTTTCCCACAGTGATTCAATAAATAAATAAATTATAAAAAAAAAAAAAAAAAAGAGAACATGCTTCTCTCTGGAGAGGAAAAAGCAGAGAGAGATATATGTTCAAGGGAAAGCCCAGGCTAGAAAAAGCAAGTCTCACTTTTCTATTCTTATTTTACAAGCCAAAATTTATCTCCATCTGCTTTTATTCCTATCCAGAACAACAGGATAATTTGAAATGACTATCTTATTATTGTGACTTAAAGTAATATTATATTAAGGCTAAGATATGTAGGAGAAAAATAAAAAACATACATTATAAAATTTATAAGTTTCTTTGTTGCTTGTTCAACAATTATTCAGTGCTCATGTTGTTACTTTTTGGGGCAGTCGCTTCTGAAGCAAGCACAAAGGACATATTGATCTTACCCTCCAGGCTTGCTGTCTAGACAAGTTTGTATGACAGAGTTGAGAGAATGCTGAATGGTCCCACAGCTTGCTCAAAGGCTATCATTCCATTCCAATAATCATACTTCCATACAAAATTAAATAATCAAAAACTAAAGAGTTATTTCCAAGGAATTGTCAACTAAGAACAAAGTAGTTGCATTTATTTAAAACTCGATTTGTCTAAAAAAATCAGAATATATTTTAAAAGTAAATACCTCATGCAGACTTTAAAAAATATAAATATCAAAATTTAAACAATGGAAATATCAATAGAAAATAATGACTTCTAATCCAATTTTCCAGAGCTTCCACATGAAGACATCCTTCTCATCCTCTGAAATATACTGTATCTTCACAGCCCTGAGCAGAACTGCATAGGTGTTGACCTTGTCAGTACAATCCTGCTATTTCCAGTTGAGTTCAATAAGATCAATAGTCTTTTGTACAAGCCTCCCAGATGTTTTGGACAAGATAAGCTTTTCATTTTAATTATGGAATGCAATAAGATTTTATAAGTGAAAATGAAATTATTTTTATGTTCTCTCTTTGGTAACTAATTTGAATACTTTGGAAAGTTATGAGTAATGTGAGCTAATTTTCCAATTGATGACACACTAGGTGAGCATGAGGAAGTCATACAATTGTAGGAAAATTAATATTTAAATAAGCCCACAAATACTTGTTTCAATAGCAGATATACTGAAATTGGAACAATACAGAGAAAATTAGCCTAGTCTCTGTTCAAATATGACAAATTTTTAAAATGGCCCATAAAAAGAAGTAATTTTATGAGCAAGTTTTTTTTTAATATTATGACTTAAGTCCCTCAGTCTCCAGAAATCAAAAAACATGCCTTGGGATTATAATTATAAAAAAATCATCTTTTATTTGTAATCAACAAACAAGTTTTTTAAGTTAACTTTGTATGATATAATTGTTTTAGTTTAAAAATAATTTAGCTATCATGAATGTTACCCCTTAATTTAATCATTATGTCATTAATCATCAGAAAAGATAATTTAGTAGAACTAATGGTCTAGTTTTACATTTATTCACAATGATGTACTATTAAGGGAAAACATAACCTTTAAATTATTGTTGTCTAAAATATATATATTTCATCCAAATCTTTAAAATAATTTTACTGGACCATAAAATGGAATGCCTATTTTTGTTTTTACAAAATTAGAAAGACACTGTTCTTAAAACATTGAAAGATACCAATAATGGGATAGAGAGAGAGTACACAGGGATTAGAGTTCTTTATCACTACCTGGCTCTCTGAGCACTGCCGGGTGTGGCCCTGGTGGCCTTCAAGCTCCATGGGGTAGCTCTTGTGGTCACCTGCCCTGCAGGTCCTGAGAGGCATAACAGCCTCTGGGACACAACATTGAAGGGCTGATCCAGTTTGCCAGATGAAATTGTGCTTCCCATCCTGTCTGAGATATACTGTATCTTCACAGCCCTGAGCAGAACTGCATAGGTACTGACCTTGTTAATACAATTCTGCTGTTTCCAGTTGAGTTCAATGAGATCAGTAAACTATTGTCTTCTGTCTACTGTCTTCAGAAGTTAGCAGGCCCCATGCTCAAAAATTAAAGAAATTTTATGAAAGCTTTTCAATTTGTTATTATAGATAATATAAGTAATGGTAAACATGTTAATTACTGATTATTAATAAATATTACTGATTTATATTGGAAATTTTCTCAACATTGGAGTATCCAAAGTAGTTAAATTGATAAATATCTTCTTTCAAAAATTGTCTGTTTAAAATATTAAGCTTTAAAATACTAAACTTTAGCTGGAGAGATAGTAGTTGTTTTACATATGGTCAACCCAGATTCAATCTCCTGCACCCCATATGGTTTCCTGAGCCACACCAAGAGTGATCACTGAGTATAGAGCCAAGAGTAAGCTCTGAATACTGCTGAGTGTGGCCTGAGACAAAATTAAATTAAATTAAATTTGAAGTCTAGAAATATTGTTTGGAAGTTCTAGCAAGGGAGCGCAGCTATTTGTATACCCTCTACCAAAGACGGGTCTGTCTCTATTCGGGGAAGGCCATCCTCTTAGACTGAGCACACAGCTTCAGGAGGGATGCACATGGAGCAGTGAGGGAGGAAGGGGACAACCCCTAGCCAGCCAGATCAGCTGAATCAACCGAATCAACCATGGAGATCAATGGGGTGACAGATGTCTCAGCCAGATTGCCCTCACATCTGGCTGGAGTGATAGCACAACAGGTAGGGCGTTTGCCTTGCGTGCAGCCAGCCTGCTCAACTCGAGTTTGATTCCTCTGCCCCTCTCGGAGAGCCCGGCAAGCTACCAAGAGTATCTTGTCTACTCGGCAAAGCCTGGCAAGCTACCCGTGACATATTTGATATGCCAAACACAGTAACAATTGTCACAATGGAGACGTTACTGGGCCCACTCGAGCAAATTGATGAACAACGGGAGAACAGTGACAGTGACAGGAATATTGATTTCTTTCCTAAGAACCAGACAATTCTCACTTTGTTTATGTGATTAATTCTAATCCAGTATGGAATTAGTAATGCACTAAAGATCAGCTCATTTCTCATGCTCCACTTATCTGAATTCTTATCTAAATTAGTCTAATGGACTAATTCTAATCCAGAATAGAAGTAATCATGTTCTAAAGAATCAGTTCATTTCCTATCCTCCATTTACCTGAATTTTTATACTTCTTTCCTTCTTTCTGCTCCACATAAACCTAGATATGTATTAAGGCTGCAGTTTAAACACTTTAGTCTATATCAGAGTGTTTAAGTCCTTTTTATGATTGTAACTTCCTTATAGCGTTGCCTTTACTTCCTGTTCCCTTGACCCTGTCTTACTAGTTGTCTTCCTCATCTCATGTTGTGGCACCCAACCCCCTCTCGGTTACATAATCTTCACCAGTATCTCTTTTAGAATGCCCTGAAGATTTCCTTAGTGTCAGATTGAAAAATCCTGTGTAGAGCTTCTTTAAAAAAGAGATTATTTTGATTTACACAAAAATTCTAATAATCTGCATATGTAAAAAATCATCAGGTGACCATGATTCCCTGTTGTAGGTATACATATTGTGTCTAAAAAATGTAAATATTTTTTCTTCAGTTCTCCCAAGTCACTCACACAAAGAATGTCACATTGTACCAAAATAGATATATTGACTCTAAATATTAAGTTTCTGAATTCTGGTAGATACTGTTGTTACATAATGTTCTCATTCACTATATGCTGTTCTGCTAGGTATCAACTTTCCTCATTCTATCTTGGTGACTTCTTTTTCAAAACACTATATATTTTTTATCACATCAGTGATGCTCAGTGGTTACTCCTGGTTCTACACTCAGGAATTACTTCTAGGGCCTGGAGAGATAGCACAGTGGGTAGGGCATTTGCCTTGCACGTGACCAATTTGGGTTTGATTCCCAGCATCCCATATGGTTCCTGAGCAACGTCAGGAGTAACTCCTGAGTGCAGAGCCAGGAGTGAGCCCTGTGCTTCACTAGGTGTGGCCAAAAAGGAAAAAAAAATCAGGAATTACTTCTAGCAGTGCTTGGGGTCCGTCCATATGGGATGCCAGGGATTGAATTCAGGTAAATTAAATGCAAGACAAGCGCCTTACCTGATGTACTGTTGCTTCAGCCTTTCTTAGCGACTTCTTTTGCACTCACTTTCTCCCCTTTCATTATTTCACCCAATGCAGAGAGTGTTATTAATTTAATAAAGAAGTTTTTAATACACTTTGTCAATCCCTAATATATCATCATTGCAAAAATCCAAATTCCCCATCCAAAATAATTTTCAGGGACTCTGTGGGGGGTGGGGTGAAGGAGACTCTATTAAAATTGTTTAGACTTGATATTATAGCTTTCACTATTTTATACATAGATGGAACCAAATTTGTTTCTCTACAGTTAGAATGCTACTCTTGTAATTAATGGTTGTAACAGCAGAAAACTAGTGAGCGCCTTTGCTTTCCTTGAAACAGAGATAGGTGGAAGTCACCAATTCCCACCCAGATGAATGAAAGGAAGAATTTCATGTGGCCTTTTTTTCATGACTTTTATAATGGCGATACAAACATGTACCAAACACTATTCAACTGGGTCACTGTGGGATTCATTACTGACAACATAGTCATAAAAAAGGGACAGAAATAAAAATGTACAAAGTCAATTCCGCATATGAATAAACCAAGGAAAGAACAACTTACAAAACAAGATGAAAAACTTGCCACTAAGCTGAAGGCTGTGAAGGATGCAAGTACTCAAAGCAGAAGAGACAAGCTCCCTCAATGGACTATGTGACACAGGGAATAATGAAAGGTCACTCTTGAAAAAGTGAGGGAAAGAAACCATAATTCCATATCCGTACTGAAAGAACATGTTTATTCTAATAATTTATAAATTTATAGTTGCATTTTGAAATAGATTGTAATTATGTTTGCAATGATAAGTTCACTTTCCCACTGACAATTATTTCAGGGCTGGGACGCATGGACACATTACTGGTGACTGCTCAAGTAAATCAATGAATAACTGGTTGACAGTGATGCAGTGATACAGTGAATCTTGCAAAGAGATTTAAATTGTTTCCAATTTTATTTTAAGTCTTTATAGCAATAATCCTTTTTAGTTGTTTCCACTAGGACACCTTGGGAAGAGAAGAGAGCAAACTTTGGCAACAGAAGTTCTAAAGGCCAAATTTACATAAGATTTCATTTGAGATTTCCTACATTTTCATAGCAATTTGGAATTCTGCCTAATAATATAAATTTATCTAGGAAGATCAATTTGTTCAGTTTGCAGGAAGGTATTCAATTGTCTACCTACCCAAGAGTCTCCTGCCCCCGTGCCTGGCTGTCCTCACCAGGGCCCCTTGGAGGGGGTGGGTTGAGTTTTCCTCCCCACCCCAAGCAGAGCCCCAGCAGCCGAAGACCTCCAAAACCAGCCACACCCATACTGAGACCACTCTCCACACGCATGAAAGAACCAGCAGAAGAACACAGGCATGCAGGTCCTGGGGCTGAGATCTCCAAGCCTGCTCGGATCGGAACTGGGCTTTCTCCACCCAAATTCCCCCATCTTCCAGTATGTAAGCATTACACTCACCAGCTGCTGCCGGAGCCAGGTGGTCCCATCAACTGCCAAGACCCAGAGACTATAAAACCCAGCTCCCAGAAGCGACATCTTATTATCTCATTTTTACTTTGGAGAATCCAGCAGGCTACTGAGAGTATCCTGCCCACAAGACAGAGTGTGGCAAACTTCCCATGTCGTACTCAATATGCCAAATACCAGTAACAATGATAGGTCTCATTCTCCTATCCCTGAAAGAGCATTGAATATGGCTCTTTTAAAATCTCAGGTCTAGGAAGAAGGAGACGTTACTGGTGCCTGCTCGAGGCAATGGATGAACAACAGGATGATTGTGATCATGATCGTGATATCTGCCTAAAGTAATTTGTGTTCAAGTATTTTAAGTGGCTTATGTGAAGTGGGAAATAGAAAGATAATAGCTTCAATAGGAGTCTAATGTCTTTCTTTTTACCCACCTCAGAACCAAAAAAGCTCCTGGGAAGCTCAGGACTGAAGAGCACACTTTGTGGTTTAGATTTGTCTTACCACCTCTACTAGGGGTCATCAGACTGTATCTGGTTTTCCATTTGATCTGCATGGCATGGGATCGAAATTCCACCAAGCAATTTCTTGGGAAATGAAACTCACACTAGAGTGAGAAATTTGATCTTCTTAGAAAAAGAAAAAGT